GAACTTTAACTTTCTCTGTTTATTGCTTGAGATACTATTTTTTTTTTTCCACATTATACATTAATCAGTCAAGTATAGAACAGATTTCTATAAAAGCAACTATATTTATTATTAGAAAGAGTGGAATTTAAATTATGCTTCAGAAAGGGATTGATACTTCCTTTTAACAGAATGATGACTACTGCCTCTTTGAGTGGGGAATTTGCTGAAGTACTGGGTGATAATCAACAGAGCAACTAATACTTAGGTTCTTATTGTAGCAGTCAGTAATAATGGTAATGATCTCGTTATATTTTCCCAGTAAACATTGTACTGGTTATACAGTTAAGGCTTCAGGGAGTTATTATGTGAGGCTTGCACTAAAATAAAAAGAAGTGCAAGATAACATCTTGGAGAAGCTTGTAAAACTTCAGAACCTTTGAGGAACAAACAAAGATTTGATGCAAAACGTTACTTAACATTAGGTGTTATTAATGTTGCATAACGATTTTGCTTCAGTAAATGTTCTAAGAATAAAATAGAATAGCTCCAGCAGGTTTATTTGTGATTCATGCTAGAATACTGAAGATAAAGCACTACAGATACTCCTTTGGAAAACTATGCAAATCAAGTAACGTTTACTTGAGAAAATAATCTATGTCAGGAAGGTACATGACTTCATACTCTGTTATACTAGGACATAATTATAGGACATCTACTCACTGAAGAAGTATCTGGCAAATTTGACTGGAGGGCTACCTTTCAAAAAACTAGTTTTAACCCTATTGTCTGTTATTGCAATGACTTCTGGAAATGGGCATTAGTCAATTTGTCTCTGCAATGGGAATATTCCAGTTTTGAGAAACAAGACTATTCTCTTGATCTGATTACAAAAAACAAACAAACAAAAACCCAAACCAAAACAAAAAAACAAACCACCAAACCAAAACAAACAGGAAACAGCAAACACTCAAACACTGAGGAATTTCCAAATGTTCTATTTTCAGAATTTGCACTGTTTCCGTGATTAAAACACACAAACAAAAGGAAAAGACCAAACCCTCAGCAGTATGTTTGTTTAAAAGTGAGCCTATTACATTTATTTAAATGCAGTAAATGAGAAATACATACTGCTCTTGGCATTAAATGAACATTTGTTAGGAAGATGGTATTCCAGAGAGCTTTTTTTTTTTTTTTTTTCCCTTTTCTGGCTCTCAGCTGCTCTCCACCCTCTACTACTCAGTATCTCACTTTCCACTTGTTTTCTGTTATTCTTTCCTAAGCCTTTCTTTCTCCAAGATTCTCTCCCTGCAGAATACTCTTCATATGCTTTCATACATTCAGATCTGTTCCTTCTGGAGTGATTTTTTTTTTTTTTAATTACTTGTTATTTAGTAGCAACAAACTGGAGATCTGTAAATACCTCAAAATAAATTCTAAACATTTTCATGAATATTAATGACCTAAAAAAGGTCTCACATCTTGGAATATTATAAATGGAACAGTGTTTTAGAAAAAGGCACATTCATTGCTCTCTCTTCCTTTCCTGTTCTATTTATCTTTCACATTTTTTCAACTCCTTTTTCATTGATCTTTCTACTTTTTCTGTTTATGTCTTCTTCAGGTTCTTTAACATTTCATTCTGCATTTCTTCTGCTACTTCTGTCCTCTGCTTATCTCTTTCTTTTCAAATTTTCACTTTCTTTTTTTCTTTTTAATATGCATTTTTTCTAGTTTTACTCCTATATTTTCTAACTTTCCTCTCCATAAATTTTACTTGCCTCTTTTTTTTTTTTTTTTTTTTTTTTTTTCCCTCATTAGACTATTTTGCTCTTGAAATCTGTAAAAGTCTGCAGGTTCCATTATAGTTCTTTGCAATTACTTTGGGCCTCATGATGTGTCTCCAGGTCCTGTAATCGAAGGAACAATGTTGTTATACCTTTCATAGCTCTGCGACTTAGTACTTTACTGCATCATGTCTCCTGTAGTATCCTGTAGCTTCTGCACCTTTTGAATAATTCGCCATATAATGATGGTGATCTTTCTCAAAGGCAAGATAGGAGTTATTAGACCAAGACAGCTTGAATCAAGTCTTCTCTTGGACTGAACATTCACTGATCTCTTCCTCATTTTTCTAGCTGTGTCATCCTCTGTTGTGCTTGACTTCTTTCTTTGTGGTTTTAATCAGTGTTTGCATGAAACTGCAAGAGACAATAGAACTTTAAGAGATAGATATACAAGAAAAGCTCACATGCAGTCAGACTATATAAGGGTTTAATAGTGGAAAATTTAGGCACACATAATTTAAAGAAAATCCCTGTTATCTTCAAATGCAATAACATAACATAAAAAAAAAAACAAAACAAAACAAAACAAAAAAAAAAAAAAAAAAAAAAAAAAAAAAAAACCCAAACCCACATACAGCCTGTGTTGGTTTGAGCCCTGCTGGGACCAGAGAGCATGTTGCTGCTGCCCCTCCCTGACCTGCAGCCGGTCAGGCTGGAAGTTAGGCACAAACCTCGGGGTAAAATATGAAGAAATTTAATACAACAGTGTGATAAAACAATCTGAACAACAGTGGCAATGATAACAAAAATAAACAGCAATAACGTGAACAAGACAAACGATATACAGAGAAATACCGCAAAATGGTCACGGAGCAGCTCCCCGCCACCATAAAGCCAAAGACAAAGTAAAATAAATGTTTCCTGCTGCTGGACCTGATGTCAGCATGGTATGAATAACCCAGTTGGAGATCCCTTCCCCCTCTCTCTCTGCTGGGGAAACTTAACCCTATCCTAGTTGAACCAGGACAAGCCAATTCTGGGAAATCTTATGATATAGGCCTAATTGAACCAATTGAGAACAAATGTAAAGTAAACATAAGGTAAATGATGCATTACTTCATCCAACACTACATCAGTAAAATAAGTCAACCTTAACTGTACCATAGTAGATAGATATATGTTGTACATACATAATAAAACAAGAGCTATTAGAATTTTAAACATATTTTAAAATTCATATGTAAATAAGAATGGAGTAAAAAGTAATAAAGAGCATTAGTTAACACACTAAAATTGCAAATTATTTTGAATTTTCATTGCACTGTAAAGAAATCCTGCTTCCTTTCCTTTTCACCATGCATATGTGAATATACAAGTCAGGAAAAGTTTTTGGACTTCCATAATTACACTAATGTAAAACTGTTGCAAGGGAGAAGCAAAACAGCATCCAATCATATGATATGAGTCCAAGTTTTAGCATGCTGTCCCAGTTTCATTATAGCTGCCTGTTATCTGGCCACCACAGAATATTCTGCCACACCCTGTAGAATCAAGTCCTCTGTCGGAAATTAGAAATAATAACTCATGTCTCTCTATGAGGATTCCATTTTTTCTGTCTCCTTATGAAGTTGTCATTGGATCAGATTAAGAATACATTCACAGTGTTACCTATGTTGGTTTATCAATAACAGGATTGCATAGGTTAGGAATCAATTGTTAGGAACAATGTAAAAGAATTATTTAAATATGTAGGTGTAGCAGGAACCCCCTTATTTGCAGGATGAGCCTGTGAGACAAGACACACACCAATATGGTTAACAGTCAAGCTCCGATCTTTATTAGAAAAACAAGTCCTTATATATTCCTATGACAGCAAATCCATGTGTTGCTCTGGTGCATGCTCATTGCAAAAACTTGTTCTTCTCAGCACTTTCAACAAGTGCTACTAAGCCTGCACATCTGGTAGATAAATTTCTGTTATTCTACAGATTCCTTTCTTATCTGTTTCTTCCCTAATGAGTAAAAATACTTTCACTTTTAGCCGTCGTTATTCTAGACACCGTTAGTCTTCTAACACAAGTGCGTCATTAATTTAGCCATTGTTAATCTTCTAACTTGAATGCTGGTAACACTTTTACATTGTCAGTGACGCAGATGGTTTGTGACCCGGCATATGCACCCACGATTCCCCCTTTTCTTTTTATTAAGGCCTCTATTCTATTTACCACACAATACAGCAATAATCTCACTATGTATATTGTTTTGCAGTTAGTAACAATGCCTAGAGATAAATTGAGAGTGATCAGAAAGATTCACACAGTATATACCCTTAAATTCTTCACATCCATGTTCTGGTGCCAATAACAAAAATCTATAGTCGCTTTATTTTGTAGAACAGCATGCCTTATACTATCTTAATTTGTCAACAAATTACTTACTATATTAGATGTTAAGTTAAATTGTTTTGTACTCCAAGAGGCTATTTTGTTCAAGGTGGATAGGGCTTTTACAACCCCCATTCCTGGGGGTTAAGAGAGATGTAGTGACACTCTCTCCAGGTCACCACAATGCCATTTTATTAAAGGATACGCAGCAATTTATAGACTACCATAAAGTACACGTGCAGCTACTTGATTGCTCATAGGTTAAAGCTACTTGTCCATGAGCCCTTTTACCCTCTATGATTGGTCCCGGTGTGGTGTCTACAAGCTGCTCTCCTGCCAGGCAAACGTCTTCCACAGTCCAGCTTCTTTATCTTTTTGCTACATACGCAGTTTCTCAGCCCTTTGGTCTTGCACGTGTTCTTCACAACAACTACAGCCTGTTGTTACACTGAGGCCACTTGGTTTTGATCGCTCATAATGTGCCCGTTGTTTTTCAGCCATTCCACACACAGTTTAACATCATTAAAAGGATTATAATGACAATTTAAACTGTTAGTCCATGTAAAAACAAATCTTTTAACCATCTAGTAATTGGTAATCTTTTAGTCGGATCATTATTATATACTCTTCCCTCTTCAAGATGTAAACCCATCGTATAAGTATTACTACAAAACCAAATGTAATTTATTGGTATTGCTGAAGGAGTCACGTTTTGCCATCCCACCCAGACCGTCTGATTATACCAACTATGTATCAGATAGGCTTTTTATCCTCAAACTATATGCATCCCCAGGCATGATTTTTCATGCTATTCCCAGCTACTGGGGGAAGAGAGCCTCTCAGTTTTAACTCCAATCAAACAGGTGAGATGGGTCGGCAGCAGTTGCTAAGCCCAGGCAAATTGCCTGCTGTCCTGATTGATTTTTCCCTGCCACCTTGGCACAACTCAGCAGTTTCTTATCTATCCTATGAGGCCTGTTCTTCATCAAAGCCTAGCTGTTTGTCAGAGGCTGTGTAAGGCCGATGCCTCCCAGATCTCTCCTTTCATGGTTTTGCATCGGCACCTGCAAGACTTGTTTGAGAGCTGTATCAATTAAGGGTTAGAAAAACTTCAAAAACATAGTGTACTTGGAATTGTTCCACAGAAGGTTAAAACAATACAGCAGTTGTAATTACTAGTTAAAACTGTAGGCTGATTTCACTACCTATAAATAAGGGACATAACTAAATACTACAAAATAAACAGTAAGGAAAACATGGAGTAGCACACTTACTTAATTGGGTACTAACATTCAGATCCACAATTGCTGGGGAACCCTGGGTGCAGCGAGAATTTAGAGTGCCCTTCCTCACAAACTGGAAATCCTACGCAATGCTTCCCTCCGTAGGTGAGGCATCCAACATCACTGAAAGTAGGTCCAGCCTCTAAATCAACTAGCCAAAATAACTGGCACTTTTTCTTGAGTGGGAACATATTTCATCCTCCTGTTGGGTTCCACCCAGAGCCTGGCCAGCACTGCAGGGGGAAAACTGAGGGAGTTTCTAATAAGATTAAACATGTGAGCTTTTCATTCTTAATATTGCTAAACAAAGAAAGTTGAATACACACATTCTCACAGCATTTCATCGTTTCAATAACTACATTCCATCTAAACTACATCTTGCACAAATGACTAGTAAGCCTATATATTTCATTAAGGAGCTGCAATTACTGTTAGTATTTTCTGTTAAAAGAATTGGAAACTGTAGTGTAGTTTGTTTTGTTGCAGTATCAAACATTACCCCAATATTCTGCTTAAATGATCAGTCGAAGAGATCACAAACTGTCCACACAGGGGCACTCACAGCACCCACAGCTGGATCCTGAGTGCTGACTGCCTCTCACGCCTCAGGTGTGGTTGCACACACCTTGCTGGTGACCATTGGAGACTAAGACCTGTGGAGACAAAAGCATAACCTCTTCCCCAGGTTATTAAATATATGGTCCTTCTCCGTTACTACTTTTTAAGTTTTTTGTTAACACTTGAGCCTTGCTCTGGACTTCTTGTTGATCTGGTATCTGTGATGAGAAATGACACAATATAGGTGGCACCCGCGAGACAGAGGAAATGTTTAAAAGGTTCATGTCCTGGTTCAGCCAGGACAGAGTAAAGTTTTCCCCAGGAAAGAGAGAGTGGGAAGGGATCTCCAGCCAGGTTATTCATACCATGCTGACGTCAGGTCCAGGGGAGGAGCCTTTTTACATTTCTCTTCTGGTGTTGGTTTTTGCCATACACGTGGCGGGTTTGCTCCTTGATCATTTGCGGTATTTCTCTGTATATCTTTTGTCTTGTTCACTGTTATTGCTGTTTATTGTTGTTACCATTGATACTGTTGTTATTCAGATTGTTCTATCACTCTGTTGTATTAAATTTCTTGTTATTTTAGCCGGGGTCTGTGTCTAACTTTCAGCCCAACCGGGGCAGGTGGGGGAGCGGCAATGGCCACGTTGTCCCTGATCCTGGCAACGATTAAAACTTGCACAGTTCATGACATATAATGCCTTATTAAGTGCTTTGTGAGGTGTAGATTGATATTTTGCATCTTGACCCTTTGTTGTTGTAATAGCCGCTTTAGCTTGCTAGATGTATGCTTCATAGTGGCCTGACCAGCCGGTGAATGGGGAATGCAGGTGAGGTGCTTGACTACCCACAGTATGACAGGATGCAAACAGTGCTGCAGAAAAGGTATTAACAGACACATGTACATATTTTAACATTTGAAATGCAGCTAAGTGAGTGACAACAGATTGCTATAATTCTGAAGAGGTGAGTCCCCAAGGGTCGACACCACTTCATTGCTGAAGAGATGTAGTCTTTCTGGTATTCAGGGCAAGTTGATAAAGAAAATTGTTTTGTATTGACCGGGCTTTCTGGTGGAAAAAAAATGCATGTGTTTTTCATCCCACTGAAACAGCAGAGCATATGGCTCACCTGGAGCCAAGACTTCTCCCCCTTTTGCAAAAGCGCTTTCAAGGTCTGGCGTGTTCTTTCTACAACGGCTTGTCCCGTGGGGGAATGCAGTATACCTGCGATGCTTGTCTGTTTGAGATGGTGTTAGCTATACGGTGAAGATCTTATTTTGCTTTCTCTGTAAGTACTTTGGGTGATGTTAGTGAAGGATTTTTTCATACAATATCAAACAAGCTACGCAGATCATTGTAAGTTAGGCCCACAATGGCTGTATCCAATTTATGGTTCCCAACAGTTTCTGTACATCTTTTAAAGTCTTAATAGCAGTTTTAAGTTGTTGCAGGACAACAGTCTGTTCACAAATTCTTCAGCTCAGGTACTGCCTGGTGATGATATCTGTACCTTTTGAAGTGGTATTTGCAACACTATTTGAGATAGTGAGTGTTTGGTTAAAGGGCCTTTTCCATGATCTCCTTGTTTTTGTTGCTATAAGGATGTTATCCATGTAAAGATATGTAACAGCTTGGGGGACCTGGTGGGATTTTTATGTATTATGGTAAAATAACACAGTGGTATTGTTTTGCGGGTTCACTAATATTAATAGTGGGAATAGAAAAAGTAATTTTAGGTGCATCATTTGGATGCAAGGGAATGATAAGAGAAATCAATCCTTTAGTCAATTACTACAAGATGCTAGTTTCAGGTAATCATTTTTGGGGAGGGCATTCATGGTTGCAAAATATTTTTATACTCCACAGTATCATTAATATGTTGGCTCAGGTTGTCTTGTCTGTGACTTCATAAATAGGAGTAAGGTAGTATGATCACTTGTACTTATATTGCATTAATAAACTGAGAGAAATGAGTAACATGAAAATGGTATCAGCTCCATGGAACTGTGCAATCATGCTGGCAATGAATTCATTGAAGTCTGAAGTTTAAAGCTAGCTTTATTGTGGCCAGACTTCTAAGCACACTCATCAGAGCTCACTTTTTCCATGATATATGTATACACACACATACATATAGCAAATCCAATATGGTAATAAAATACTAAGTTTCTGTATGTCTTGAGAAATAGGATGCAAGGACAAACAAGGAATTATTTTTTTTTCATCTATGAAGAAAATAAGCATGAATTCAAAGCCTGATAAATACTTTAGAATCTATTTAAGAGACCTATAATTAATGCCTTTCAGAAGGCATTCATAACAGAACTTGTTGCAATTTGTGCTTTGCTAGAAAGCTCAGGATTATTTTTTTTCTGTATGTATTTTTTTTTCCATCTGGTAAGGTGGAAATGCTTTTTAAAATATGACAATACAGCAGAAATATTTATTAAAAAAAATCCTCAGATGCTGCACTTGACTTTTGACTTTGAAATTTCTGTTCTGGATTATATTTGTGATCTTTGCAACAGTGTGTAACAGTGCAATAAAATCCACTCCTAATTAAAATGCAATTGCACACTTGTACAGTTACATACAGTTTACTGCAAGTTTTTGTATCCTTTAAGGATGCTATGTGGCTGTCACCTCCAGCAGCTCCATGACCCAGAGGTTCCTCCTACTGAGCTGATGGAGCCCAGCCCTGCATTCCTGGATACCCACAGATATCCCTGCCCCAGACTGATGGATGTGGCTTCTTCTGTGTCAGTTTCAGGTTCATCCAGTAACAAGGCTGAGTGTGCATCCCCAACACACACACACACAGAGCTGACATGGTCAGCTGCACAGACTGTCACAGACAAGGTGCTGCCTTCAGCAATATCTACAAAAAACACTGCCAGGACTCACATAAAACATATGTGTAGGTATCCAAGGCCCTTTCCTTCTTCTGACTGGTCAGAATTGAAGCTCCCTAGTGAAAGCTCACCTGTCCTCACTCTGGATCCTTGAACAGACGCAGATTTGTGCATCCCCTGAGTACTGGCTCCTCTCTCTGCCTGGTACCCCTGCCCAGATCCAGAACTCTGTTCCACATGTCTCCTACTCACCAGTCAGTCCAGGTTGGCACTTGCTAGCATACAGATGAATGGGCTCACACACCTTTTACATGAACACCCCACATTTGTGGGTCCTCCTGGGTGTCAGCATGGACCCCTCCCATCTGCCTGATATCTCTGCCAGTACTCCCAGACATAAAACATATCATCATGTTAGGAACCCATTGAAGCCCTGTAGTCCTAAATCACTGAGACCAGCCTAATTATTGTTCATGTAATGCAGTTCTTCTCTTCAGTCTTTGGCCATTTAATAAAATTATTTAAACCAGACAAGTGGGAACCTGGAAATTCAGAAAATTTTATGTATGAACGACAGTGTAATAATTGCTGCTTAAAAAAAATAAAAAATAATAATAAAAAAAAATGACACAGTATAGCTGCAAATAGTGATGGATATGTTACTAACAACCAGTATATTATCTCTTGTATACAGAACATGTGAGATTTTTTTAACTGAAGATTTTCTGGCCAGGTATAAGAGACAGTAAGTCGAAACATTTCCTGGGAGGCTGCAGACTTCCCTCCTTAGCAGCCCTCTTCAATTGATGTCTCCTTCATTTTCCCTGAGGTTTTCTCAGTTTTCAGAGTTCTTAGAACTAAAGAATTAATTCACTACATTGATATTAAAGGAACATTTTTCTTTCTGCTATAATGTGTGAAAACATTGAAAGGCAAGTAATTCCAGATGAAACTAAAGCCTGGTAAAAGATCAACTCCTTTTTTAAGCTGACAACAAAAGGTGCTGATGGTGCTGTAGCAGTCTTTGAATTGTTTGTTCTACTGAAGATGGATTAGATCATTTGATTCAAAGAGACTATGCTGCTGGTAAATTTAGGCATAGTGATACTACTAAAGACTACTGGATTTAGTTTTGCTAATATAGATCTGGCTAATGCATTTGAAAAAAAAAAATGCAGAGAGCTGTTAAATGAAGTAGACAAGTAGGTTTCACATTAATAAGATTAAAAATGCAACATTCTGATGATTTTATGCTGGGTTGGTAGTTTCTGATCCCTTAGTGAATTAGTCAATTAGTGGGATCAGAAGTTTAAAATGGTGTTAGCTATGAATGCATATTGAAATG